GGAGGACATGCTAGACAAGCTTGCGGGGGAAGCCATTTTCTCTAAACTCGACCTTCGAAGCGGCTACCATCAAATTCGAATCCGACCGGGGGACGAGTGGAAAACGGCATTCAAGACGCGAGACAGTTTGTTCGAATGGCGCGTCATGCCTTTTGGTCTATGTAACGCACCAGTAACGTTCATGAGGTTGATGAATGAAATACTCCGACCGGCTTTGGGAAGGTACTGTGTTGTCTATTTTGATGACATCCTTGTGTTTAGCTCCTTGATGCAAGACCATTTACAACATCTAACTTCTGTTTTGAAATTTTGAGAACTCATAAGTTATATCTTAATCTTCCTAAATGTGAGTTTTCCACAGGAGAGGTGCATTTCCTGGGTTTTATCATTTCCAGCTAAGGCATTCACATGCATCCACAAAAGGTAGAAGCCATAACTCACTGGCCTACTCCAAGTTCAACTACTGAGGTGCGAAGTTTCATTGGTTTGGCAAACTTCTATCGCCGATTTATACGGGGATTCAGCATTATGGTGGTGCCAATCACAGATTGTCTCAAAAATAAAACATTCCAATGGTCTTCGGCACAACAGAGAAGCTTCGAAACTCTCAAGGAGGCGTTATGTTCCGCCCCTGTTCTGGCGGTGCCTGACTTCAACAAGCCGTTCCAGGTAGACACCGACGCCTCATCTATAGGCATTGGAGCAGTGCTCTCTCAAGAAGAATGCCTGATATAATTCTTTAGTGAGAAGCTGAGTCTGCCTCGCCAAAACTGGTCTGCATACGAGCAAGAATTGTATGACGTCGTCCGTGCTTTAAAACAATGGGAGCACTACCTCTTACATCAAGACTTTGTCTTGAGCACTGACAATCATGCCGTTCAGTTCATTAATAGTCAGAAAACCGTAAATAAGATGCATGCTCGCTGGACGACATTTCTGCAAAGATTCAGCTTTGAACTACGACATAAATCTGGAGCTCAAAATCGAGTGGCCGATGCTCTCAGTCGTCGCACCATGCTTCTTACTCAACTACAGATGGATATGCAGGGAAATCAATCATTGCATGAGCTATACGCTGAAGATCAAGACTTCGTTGAACCTTGGGCAAAATTAATGCAAGAACCCCACACTCCCGCCGGCGATTACTCCATTAGACATGATTTCTTATTCAAAAGAAATCAGTTATGTGTTCCAGAATCGTCCTGGAGAGAGTATCTTATTAAGGAACTGCACAGCGGAGGACTCGCAGCACCATGTCGGGCAGACAAAGACACTAGAACAGATGCAGAACCAATTTTTTTGGCCACATTTACGCTGTGACGTAACTCGTTTTGTGGAACGCTGTCCGGTGTGTCAAAGCTATAAAGGTAATGCCCAAAATACAGGACTCTACACGCCATTGCCGGTTCCCCAATCCATTTGGGAAGATCTAAGTATGGATTTTATCTTGGGCTTATCACGAACAAAACGGGGAGCGGGTTTCGTTATGGTCGTTGTTGATAGATTCTCGAAGATGGCCCATTTTCTTCCCTGCAAGAAGACCTTCGATGCTTTGAACGTTGCCATTCTGTTCTTCAAAGAGATCGTTCGCTTGCACGGATTACCTCATAGTATCACCTCCGACCGCGACGTTAAATTCGTTAGCCATTTTTGGAGGGAGCTATGGAAGAGATTACACACTGAAATAAAGTTAAGTTCCGCATACCACCCACAATCCGATGGCCAAACGGAGGTGGTTAACCGAACGCTAGGTAGTATGTTAAGTTGCCTAGCACACGAACATCCCAAGCAATGGGACGATTATGTTGGACAAGCCGAGTTTGCTTACAACTCGACGGCCAATCGATCTACAGGCCTATTCCCTTTCAGTATCGTCTATACCAAGACACCAAATCATGTGGTTGACATAATAGTGTTACCTCAATGCCGCAGCAAAATGGCTGCCAAAACGTCTGAAGACTACACTAAGTTGCTAACAGAAGTTAGAGCCAAATTGGAGTCTGCGAATGCCAGTTACAAGCAGTCTGCCGATTCCAAACGCCGTCTGAAATTGTTCAACCCAGGCGATTTAGTTATGGTTCGTCTCCGTAAGGAGAGAATACCGCCCGGCACAAATTCGAAGTTGAGTCCACGCAAACTCGGTCCTTTTCCGATATTGCGACGAATTAATGATAATGCTTATGTTGTGGAACTCCCTCCACAATTCCTGACTCCTTCCACTTTCAATGTTTCAGACATTTTTGCCTATACAACTCCAGATTCCGGTCAGGTTCGCTCCATTCCTTGTGACAAGGAATTTTCTACAGCCGGGAAGCCTGATGTAGCACAGGACACGGGATAGGCTACACCGGGGGAATACCAGCTCCCTGCTCCCTAACAAACTACATACTCCACTATGCCTTTTCAGTTATTAGTCAGCATTACTTTTCTACTTTTACAAAGCTATTGCTTAGTGTTATTATTACTATTCTTTACAGTATAATACTAGTATTGGAGCTGTAGCAAGAGGTAGAATGAAATATACACTTTACTGTATTATTTTCCCTTTCTAACTCTCGTTTCTTCTTCTTTCCTCTTCCTGCTGCTTCTCTATTTTCTCTATTCTTCTTGCTTTGTTGCAGGTCTTGTGTTCCATACACCACTTGGAAAGTGGTTTGCAAATCTAAAAAGATGGGGGAGATTGGTATGCCATATCCTACCACCCTTTATTTTGATTACAACTACTCTCTTATTTGGCATATTATTAATGGCAAGAGCCTTTTAGATTCTTGGTTCGAAAACAAATACTAATCCTTTTGGAAACCCTGTTCTCAAAAGGATTCTAATTTTTAGAAAGAGCTGTGTACTATTGCTAGAGATATTTGGGGGAATATTTCTTTTAATATATCCTTCAATTGTCCTTTATATTTGTATTGGGATCCTTGATTAGCTGGTTAAGCTTCTCATGAGTTATATTTGAATAATTCGGGCACTTTGGTCAATTTATATGTTGAAGATTGAATTTCTAATGGTAGTTGGCAGGTTCCAGATTTTGTTCCAAACAATGTTGTTATGGCTGTTTTGGGTACTTCTATTAAGAATCATGATAGATCTATTAATTTTTAGGATTGAGTGATGTATCTTTCATTTAAGATGTTCTATAATGCTTTTTTATAATAATCTAAATAAAGTTGAGTGGTACTCTTATATTTGACATAAAAGATATGCTATGAGATTCTCTTGCTTTGTTTGGATGGCCATTTTAAAGGGTTTGAAAACTACAGATTTTTTGGCTAAAAAGAATTTGAATGTTCCTTTAAACTGTATCCTTCATTCTAAAGCTAAAAAAAGTCATAATTATTTATTTTTTGAATATGATTTTTCTTTTAGTATTATTTCTAAAGTGGTTTGTGGGTTAAGATATTTTTTATTTAGACAAAATTTAGTTCAAATTCGGGATTATATTTGGACTTCAGATTTGTTTGCTGATGCAAAAAATTTATTTCTACTCTATATTTTTTGTTCTGTCTATTGCATCTAGAAAGAAAGGAAATGCATAAATTTTGGTAATAAATTTTGTTTCTCTAGTATTGCTTTTAAGAGTATTAAGATTGATGTCAGAGCCAAAGTGACCAATTGGGCGTCCTTTTATAAAATTGAGCATTTGAATTTTTGATTTGGCTTTATGTGTTCCCAGTTATTCTTTATGTTTCTTTTGTGGGTTTTGATTTGGTTTTTGTTTTTGACTATAATGTTTAGGATTCCTTCTTTTCCCCCTTTGGAGGGCTGGTTTAGCAACCATGTTCTGGGAAGGTCGAGTCTAACAAGTAAGGGAGTTTTTTGGTTCTTTTGAAGGTCTCATTTTCCTGAGTCTTGGTTGGGGGTGTTTTTGTCGTTTCTAGCTCTCTTTTTTATCTGATTTTTTGTTTCTGGTGGGTCTTTTGGTTGGTTGTTCTCTTTTTGATTGTTGGTGGGTGCTTTCTGGTAGATACTTGCTCTGGAAATATGGTTGTAGGTATGGCTTGTAACTTGGCTTTTGTCTTTGGATCTTTGGTTCAGATGGTTGGGTTGCTTATTCTTGTTCTTCTCTGAATTTTCATTTCTTTTTGGTTGGTTGTTTGCTTTTGGGTTTGGCTTTGTGGGCTATCTTTCCTCCTCTTCCTCTCTAAGAAGTTTAATGTCTTATTTGTTTTGGCTCTCTATTAGATTTTTGTTCTCTTTTCCTGTTTTAGATGTTTGTTCTGTTGCTGCTCTCTGATGTATTATGACTAGACGGTTTGCTGGTGGTTGCTTGCTCAATCTATTGGGTAGTTGAAGTTATTGACACTAATTGGATAGTTGAAGGTTGGCAAGTTGCTTAGCATCAGGCTTTGATTCTTTGGTTCCGATGGAAGGTTGAAGTTGTGGACACTGTTGGGATAGTTGAAGGCTGGCAAGTAGCTTGGCTTCGAGCTTGGGATCTTTTGTTCCGATGGTTGAGCTGCTTCTTCTTGTTGTTCTCTGGGTTCTTGTTCCTATTTGGTTGGTTGTTTCCTCTAGTGTTTGGCATTGTAGGCAATCTTTTGTCCTTAGGCCTGATCTTAGTAGTGCTTTTTGAGGCCTAATTGTTTTTCTTTTGTTTATTAGACTAGACTTTCTAGTTTTTTCTAGTTCTCCTCTTCTTCTCTAAGGAGTTTACTTCCTGGTTTGCTTAGGCTCATTTGTTAGTTCTTTTTCTCTCTTTAGTCTTGTTAGTTTTTCTCTGTTTTTTTCTCAATTGACCACTACTTTTTAACTGTCTTTAATCCAGAACAATAAAACTGGCGCGCTAGCTCACCTGCTCAAGGCTTAATTTTTTAATACAAAATATTTTTAACCGAACATTTTTAATTATTTCTCCAATCAAGCTCATCATACTTTTCAAACAAGCTAGAGCAATTAAGCCAAGGTTAAGCTTAATAATCTTTGAACGGACAAAATCAAGCGCAGCAAAAAATGCTCAAATTCGAACTAAAAAAAAAAAAAAAAGTAGCGTAACTTAATTAGGCCGATACTCAATTTGACTCAGCTCAACTCATTTCATTTACAATCTTATAGAAATATAACATAATCAATTATTTCTTAAGTACTATACGCTCCTAGCATGAAACCGAGCCAGCAGACAAGGATCCCACGCAAGAATTTGAACCTTTTTTTTTTTCATTCGCATCCTAAAGGATAACTCTTCAAATGACATCTATTTCAGGAAGCCATACTGCCCAACTAGATGCTCCTGAATTAAGACAAACATCAAAGACTAGAATTGTTTTCTCTTGCTCCTAAAAAGCTTCTCTCTCTTTGCATAAACATATAATAATCCAAACAAAATTCCGGCAGCAACAAAAGCAGAAACCCATGGAAATGATGGATCTTTGAAACAAACCAGTGAGGCCTCAAGCTCTTGTGTTGCCTGGTAAATTACAGTATACAAGGCATAAAGGTCAAGATCAGAAGACCTCAGGAAATAAATAGCCTTGTCATAGTCCAGCTGTGACATTGCAGTAATAATCTTTTCCAGCTTATATTTGAGCAAATTCCACCTCTGGACAAATTCCACATACCTGCTATTCTTAAGAAGTTTCCTGTAACCTCCATGTGCTGCCATTGATTCCAACAAATCAATGGCACTCGTAATTGTATAATTCAAACTAATAAGGAGAACATTTCTTTTAGCTGCATCCTTCTGAACGAATGACAGTGAGGATAACTCTGAGAATGGCCCAAATGGAGTCTGTCCAACACTCCAAGTGTAGTCAACCATTGTACTATTATGCTCTTGGCTCCATGTAAGATGAGTTGGTGTAACTCCCCACATACTCTGAAGAACTGAACCAACAATAGCGCGATTCAAATTACGCGTATTAGTGATCACATGCCTTCCATTACAGCTATACTCACTAACCGTCTGAGTATTCCTACTCCTCACAGCAATGACCATATCCTTAAAAGCAACAGCTTGGTGGAATCGGTCAAGAAAGATGATCTTGTCATAATCCAAATCAAAGACAAACACAGGGAGAACCTTCCCATATACATCATCGGTTATCCCTGCCGATCTATGAATCTCAGTCAATGATCCTCTAAGCAGCTTACTCAGTTGTTTTGAGTCCAAATACTCACTCACAATCAAGGTATAATTATCAAAAAGGAATCTTGATGTGTACGAGTTCATTGATTTGGCAATTGAAAACGAACAGATATGGCATTCTGAGTACTTGACACTATATGACTTGAACAGCAAAGTTTGTTCCTTGAATGATAAATCACTCTCCCGAAGCGTTTGCTCAATGAAAGCCCAGTCAAGACCGGCTAGATCTTGATCATCAGATCCATGGATTCGAATGAATTGGATTAGAAGTATGGACTCCAAGAAGAGGGGGATTCTTAAAGAGGGAACCAAAAGGGTTTGGTAAGCACTAAGCACCAGCGAGGCCAGGTCCGCGAGCAAGGCTTTTTCCGGTCTTGGACTCTTATGAAGGGAGGCCAGTGGATGAAACTCACCTCGTGGGAGTAAGCCTTCGCCGGAGAGCGCTGGGCCATAGTCCACTGGCCCGGCTGCAAGGTCTATCCACATGTATCGTTCCTTCCCTGTCCAGATCGTCCCAAGGCACTTGGAGAACGCCAGAGAAGAATCCTTGGCGTCGTAGGAGTAAGCGTATCGCTTTGATTGCTGATCGAGATTCAACAGATATATGTAGAAACCCGGGGCCGAGTTAGACGACTCCTTCTCGAAATCATCGCAGACAATGCGGTCCACAACAGAGTGCGGTACAGGGAGGAGGATGGAGCGGTGGAACGGAACCGTTGAGGAATCGATGTGCGAACGGATGGTGGCGGAGATCTCAGAGCCCAGAGGGGAGAACGAAGCTTCTAGGTGCAGGAAGTGAGAGACTACTAGGTGGTGGGGATTGGAGCCGATGACATGGAATTGGGCGGAGGATAGAGCAGCGGAGGCGAAGTATTGGAGCAGGTTAGAAGCGGCGGCCGAGAAGGGTCCGACAAGCTTGACGTAGACAGGGATTGATATCTGGAAGGAGAGGAGCTGGGAGATTAGGGATTTATGATTAGAAGAAGGGGTGGATAGAGACAGGGATTTCTTGAGGGATGTTGGGAGGAAAGGAAAGGAATCGTTGCCGGCGAGAGGGTCGCGGCGGTACTGGTCGGAAAGGAAGGCGTCGAGGCCGAGGCTTGGGGTGGATGAAAACGTAGGGAGTGAAGAGATGATGACGGATAAGAGGATGAGAAATAGAGACGGAGTTGATAAAAGCGTTTTAGGCATCTCTTCAAGACGAGAAAGGGCTACGAATAGATTGAAATTAGGTTCAGGATCAGGGAGATGGTTGAAGGAGGAAGAAGAGTGGGTGACGCCGTCGATGCTCGAAGGAGATTTTGGGGTTTTTAAGAGTTGGTAGATAGCACAGCTCTTGATGGCGATGAAAGAAAGTTCCAGGCTTCCAGTAAAGGACGAAGAATATAAAATGAAGAAGAACTGGGAAAAAGAAAATACAGCCAGTTGAAAAATGATTAAAACTAGTGGTAATTTCATCGATTAAATTAATACTTTTTTTACAATATTTTTCATAATACAGTAAAAGAAAATTTTGCTTATATATTTACATCATAACTGAATAAATACACCAATTATATCTGGGATAGTAGTTCGAATTCGATGTGATTTTAGGAAATCTATCACTACCTATCCTTTTATAGCATGTAGAGGATTAAACGTTATATTAAACTATAGCAGAATCATTGATGATTAAGCTAATCTTCTTGAAAATATCACTCAACTATTAAATGTTACTACAAATTTATACTAGATATTAAGTATACTTTATGAGAAAGCATATAATGTCTCAAATTTTAATCTGTGAAAATCAAAACTAAATAATGCTTCTCAATAGAAGGAGAGTTCATGTCCGTTGGTTAAGAATCTTTTACTCAAGTAAAAAGGTGCATTCTATGCACCTTACTCATTAACATGAGCTAACAATTATTCATAAACTTGAGCTAACAAGCACCTAAGAGAATCACTTATAACGACTTCCCTAGGATATGAGTAGATAATACTGGAGGCTGCATCAACTATTCTTTAATACTGTCAGAAGCTTTCTAACAATCGTCATCTTAATAGAAAAAATGTCTTTCTTTCATAAAGCACCAAACGGTTAAAAATGCCTAATATATTTGAAATAAAGCTTCTCAGATATGCTAGTCGAGCTTGAAAGGATAGCAATTAAGTGAGACTTTTGGGTGGAAGCATATCCAAGATTACTTTAATTTTAGAGGGAATCAATTTCTATTCAACAATATCGAACCACGAAACCAACAAACTCTCTTTAAGTAATGTCGAAGGTACACTTTAGATGATTCATTTTCAAATTATAATATTATATTATTTGGATAATAATTCTCATATCATATAAATGATCGACTTTTTGAGACTTTAATCATTCTATGATAAATATTTCTATGTTCTTTTTCTTAAAAACTTGGACCATATCATTGCTTGGATCATATGCTTGCCATTGTCTACTTCTTTAAAAATTGTATACTTTGGCTATTTTATAATAATTGTATGTGCTACAATGTGTTTATTGTTTTAAACACATATGATTCTTCTTCCAACTATAGAATCCAAATAAATATGTGCTATAGGAAATTTTATTGATATACCTTATCTTTCTTCATTTCTATATTTCTCATTTTTCCATCCTCAACCACTCCCTCCAGATCATTGTGTCATTCTACTACCACTTTGTGAGGGAAGGGAAAGGTGAACAACAAACATTATGTTCAAGGCCATAATGCATTTCTTTTTTTTTTTCTTCTATCTTTATTTCCACATTTTTAACTTTTTTTTCTTTATTTACACCAAGTTTATAATTTCTAGAGAAGATTATTTGCTTGTTGGGAAGATAAAAGTTTACATCTTAATATATATCAACTTCATTATTAAACAATTGTTGCATGTCACCTTTAATACAATGCTCATTACCCTCACATGAATATTTAATACACTAACATAGGGAGGAAGACACCATTCTATATTCATGAAGCTAGGTCTACCCATGGGGGAGCTTTAAATGAACCCTCCGAATGTATTATATAAAATTATGTTTCAAATTTAAGGCCATTAATATCAAACTATAAGTTTATAAAACCCAAAGCCCTCTCACCTTTTTCATTGAATCCTTGCAGCATCATTTTATCAGAGCTGAATTTACGAGTTTATACTTTTAAGCAGACAAGGGTTTTAAGAGTCATCACGTAGATTGATGTACCTAGGTCAATAAGGACATACAACATCTTCGAGTTATCTATATTTACAGAAATATACAATGGATGATTGTGTTAAGTGGTTCCCAATAACATTTCTTCATCTTAAAATGTTACTAATTGACATAATATTTAAAGCATCTTTAGATGCATTGATGCTAACTGAGTCATAAAGATGTTTGGGTTGAGTATAGATATAATCAAAGCCTTTCTTATTTCTTTAGATAAGACTAGAGTCTCATAACTACTTAATTTTGCATATAATTTTTTGATATGAGCAAAGACGTTATATTCTACTTTTGGAATGTCTAAGTTAGCTATATCTTAATCTGGTTGAGATTGTATTAAATTTTTAGGATTATCAATGACTTATTTTCCTTTATCACTATCAGAATCTATTGTGGTGGAATTTGATCACTAGAAAGATTTACTTGAACTACCTCTTCTAGGGAAGAAGTCACTTGTTCATTTACTTTATCATTACTTATATTTAAATTTTCATCCCTAGGATCATCTAAATTAGAAATCTGATCTCTATACTAATAGGATCAACTTAAAAATTAAAAATATAAGAATTACTATTAGAAATGTACTAATGATATTCTTTTAATTCAATTAAATTTAATTCATATTTATGAGAATTATTTTTAGTTGAATAGTTAAAGATACTAACAATCATCGTCTATATTGGAAAAATTGTCTTTCTTACATGGAGCAACAAACAATTAAGAAATGCCTAATAAATTTGAAATAAGGATTCTCATATATGCTAGTCGAGAATGAAAGGATATCAATTAAGTGAGAAATTTGGGTGGTGGCATCTCCAATATTACTTTAATTTTTAGGGAATCAATTTATATATCGCAGTGTCGAACCGCTAAACCAACAAACTTCCCTGAAGTAATGTCAAAGGCACGGTTCAGAGGATTCATTTTAAAATTATATTGTTATATTATTTGGATAGTAATTCTAAGATCATATAAATGATCAACTTTTTAAGACTTTTAATGGCTAAATCATCAACATAACACTCCACTTGTTGGTGGATTGGTTCATTAAAATTTGTCATCATTACCCAGTTATATGTTGCACCGGCATTCTTTAGTCCAAAAGACATATTTCATTATAATAAACTCCTACTGGTATTCTAAAAATTATAAAATTCTCATCTTTAGAAGCCATCTTTATTAGAATATACCTGGTCGAACAATTCATAAAGAAAAATATTGCATGCAGTGAACCAATATATATCATGAGTTTCAGTATATGAAGTAGAATTTAATCCTTATGAGATGTTTTATTTAGATCTATAAAGTCATTGTAGACATAAATTTGACCTCTCTTTTTCTTTATTTGAACAATGTTGGCTAACCTGGTCAGATAATTTTTTCCCTAATAATTCAGTCTCTATAAGTTTCTTGACTTCAACGATGACTTGCAATACAATTTCAAGTCGCATACATAAGGCCATTTATTTTATGAGAACCACATATGGTTGTATCTCAAGTTTATGAAGTATAATATCTTGAGATAATCTGGACATTTCTTCATAACTCCAGGTACATTAATCTTTAAATGCTAAGAAAAGCACTATATTTTTATTTAGCTTGTCCTCAATGAATAATGAGTTAATGAAGATCAGATGAGGGATCTAATTTTTTTTCCCAAATTTGTTTCTTTAAGATAATCTAATATTGATTTAATTTACTCCTCAAACTCAGGAATGACATACATAATTTGAGAGTCATCCAAATCCTTTTAAGTATCCAAAAAGGATATTTTAAAAGATGATTTAAAATCAAATGAAAAAAGACTATCAGGTTCTAGATTATTGATTATAACTAATTCTAATCATCATCAAACAAATAAAGAATTTTGAAGCAAACTCCTGCTTTAGATCTATATTTGTAAAATTTAGTATTTTACGGGTTCTTAAAATTGTTGAGCTTCAACTCTAGTCCAAGATAATGTTGTGAAATATTGTTTAAGAAATTTATTGACACAATTAGAATACAAGTCAAAAGGTATCTCTATTATTTTATCCATAAATAGATCATCAATGGTTACATCAATATTGACACTTTTTTTTTGTGTTGGAAGGTATAGAAGTATTGGTTTTAGATTATTGATTTAGAATGAGAGAAACCTTAATTACCAATCAAGATATATCTTTTTGAGATTATAAGGTTTCAAATTCTCTACAAACTTCTTTAATCTTTTAATGATAAATATTTATGTTCTCTTTCTTAACAACTTTGACCATATCCTTGTCATTATCTACTTCTTTAAAAATTTTAAACTTTGGCTGGCTTTTTTTTAATATTCGTATGCGCTACAATTTGTTTATTTTTATAAACAAATATGATTCTTCCTCCGATCTAGATTCCAAATAAATATGTGTTATAGGAAATTTTATTGATACACATTCTCTTTCTTCATTTTTATTTTTCTCATTTTTCCATCCTCAACCTCTCCTTGAGATCATTGTGCTATTCTACCACCACTTTGTGAGGAAGGGCAAGGTGAACAACTAACATTATGTTAAAGGTTGGAATTCATTTCTTTTTCTTTTCCTCCTATATTTATTTCCACTTTTTAACATCTTTCTCTTTATTTACACCCGAATTATAATTTCAAGAGAAGATTATTTGCACGTTGGGAAGATAAAAGTTTATATCTTAATATATTAGCTTCATTATTTAAAAATTATTCTAGATCTCCTTTAATACAATGCTCATTACCCTCACAAGAATATTTAATACACTAACATAGAGAGGAAGGCACCATTCTATATTCATGAAGCCAAAGTGTCCCAAGGGAGCATTAAATGAACCCTCCAAATCTATTATGCAAACTTTGGCTTCAGTTTTAAGGCCATCTATATCAAACAATAAGCTTATAGAACCCAAACCCTCTCACCTTTTTCGTTGAATCTTCTCAACATCATTTTATAAGAGCTAAATTTTTTAGTATATACTTTTAAGTAGGCAAGGGTTTTAAAATTCATTATGCTGATCGTTGCACCTAGATCAATAAGGACAAAGGACAACTTGATTTATCTATATTTACAAAAATATACAATGGCGGATTGTCTTATGTGGTTCCCAATAACACGTCCTCATGTAAGATTGTTACTCCTGAACCCTCTTTAAAGTTTAAAGCATCTTTGGATTGCATTGATGC